CATTCTCTCCCTCCCTCCCTCTCACCCACTCACTCACTCCCTTCACACCACTCTGGCGCTTCACTTATAGTCTTAAATTGACTGCCAGGGGTCAGGATGAGGCTAGGTGTTATTAACTGTTGGGTCGTTAACCTCACAAGACGACCATCGCTTCCATCCTCCATTTTTAAAGACCATTCTTAATAAAGTGGCGCCAAAATATGTCGTCTGCAATAGCGCTGTGACTCGGGCGCGCGCGCAGTGTGCATGCAGAGAGCGCAACTGCAAGTAACGAACATGAGAAAATGACCAGGGCCGGGCGTTTTGCAGCCGGCGCCGCGACCGTATGCTGCAGTGCGACGCCATCCTGCAAATGGGATTACCATACTAAAAGCCAGATTCGCATATTAATAATGGAAATGCTATGCTAAACAAGGGAAAGATACGTTTGGGGAAAATGTGGATCCATTTGATAGAGAAGGCGCCCTGCTGCTCGCTTTTTAATGACGTTGATAGATTACTTGGTATTCTTTAGCGGACGACAAATCAGAGATTAGCCATACAGCTTATATTACCCAGATATTAATACATTCATGGCATTACACGACGGGGTTCAAAAGGGTCTGTACTGGCGTGTAAGGCGTGGTTATACCTAGTCATAATCAATTTGGAAAACGAACAATTTAGTTAAAAAATCACTCTGTCATAAAGAAGACCGAGATAATGTTGTACTTAACAAATATATATGTTTGCATTAAACAATTATCTCCTTTTTGCCTTATCATTTATATTGGAAAGAAGGTTCTCGAGGTCTGATAATAAGTGAAATAGATAATCAAAATTATTGTTTCATGGATATATGATTTTGTAATATTCATTTATAAACTACGAGGGGGTGACATCACAAAGCTATAATTTACTATTTCATAAACTAAATTGATATAAACTACAACTTTTCAAGGGTATACGTTATGTCTTCAAAATGTAGCATTTTATAAATTTATCTTATGCTTTGAGGTAGAATTTTCAAAGCACTCATCAATTATTTGTTTTCATAAGATATTAAAAGGAGAGATGTAGTGAAAGGATTTTAAATTCAAAGGCAATCGAATATATATGACAAATGTACATCATGTAGAAGTTATCATGCCAGTAACGCGTGGTGGCGCTCTATCAATATACACTGTTAGAACAAGTATTACAATTTTTAATCAAGTTGGTTAAAATTTTAATCAACCACGGATTACCAGGTGAATCACACAATCGTTGGTTAAACTTCAACCAACAGCCTGTTGATTAAAATTTAACCTGTGGTTGATTAAAATTTTTAATCAATTATTGGTTAAAAAAATTTGCTCAATGTTGGTTAAAATGGTGTTGATTAAACTTTAACCATTTGTTGATTAAAACTTTAATCTTTTGTTGGTTATTTATGCTTTGTTTGGGGCTGATTCACATGTTGTTGGTTAAACTTACTTGGGTTGTTGGTTAAAATTGTAACCATTGTAGGTTAATTCTTTTTTGATTCACACGATGTTGGTTAAACTTTAGTGGGTTGTTGGTTACAGTTATAACCCCTGTTGGTTAAACTTACGGGTGTTTGGAGGTCTTATCCTCGTGTTTGCAGGTAAGAAATTGTTTAATATGATTATCATCAATGCTAAGATTGGAAGGAAGAAGTGAAATAATTAGGTTCTTGCTCAAATTAAAAACGCTTTGTGTCCCGGCCCGTAGGTTGTAGCTCAGCCAGTAAGTGTAACGGATGACCTACCCAAATTGCATGCATGTAGACGTTTCACTTTATGATGACATCTTATTTTATATTTAATTGTTTTAAACAATTAGATACAATTAGATTTAAAAAATAAGATTATTTTTCATGCATGCAATTTGGGTAGGTGATCCGTAATAGGCCCACACTTCTCCTTCTTTAATTGGGTCTGCCTCCTTCACGGTTGAAGATTCTTGCAGACTGATGAGTGTGTGTGTGCTTACGTTATTAGCCAGGTGCACGGTGCAAGTAAAATGTTACTTATTGGTTGAGCTACGTCGGGAGCTACGTACAGCCTAGGGGACACAAATCGTTTTTGATTTGAGCAAGAACCTTATTTCACTTCTTCCTTACAATCTTAGAATTGATGATGATAATATTAAAATAATTTCTTACCTGAAAACACGGAGATAAGACCGTCCAAACCCCCATTTCCTCAGCGTCCTCGCGACAACCTCCATTGTTAATTTTGTCGCACGCGTAAACTGCATGTACTTTGCATGTACTTTATTTGTATGTCGAGCGATCGCTAGCTACGCGCTTCGATATCGTTCTGTTGGGTCACGTGACCAGTACTTTAATCAACATTGATTAAACTTTAACCGGAAGGGGGCTATCATTACTGTCGGAATTTTGTTTTTAATCCATGCTGGGTTACAATTTTTGCAAACGACTTAGACTTAACCAACATAGGTTAAAAGGAATAATTTTGATCAACACTGTTTTTAACCAACGCAAGATTAAAAGTAAATTTTAATCAACACTACATTTTTAACCATTGTTGAGCGTTTTTTAATCAACAATTTTTTAACCCGCATTTTTTTAATACTTGTTTTAACAGTGTACGAAGTCAACGTCATTCGTAAAATTCATATACTTTTTGGTGTGTGTGATCATACAGTAGATCCCGAAGGCTATTTCTCAGTTGTTTCATTATCCTTCAAGCGTGCTCTAGCAACGTTTAAAGGGAAAGTCCACCCCCAAAATAAGTTTGTTTCGATAGAGGCAGAATAATAAGAAAATCAGGTGAGTGAAAGTTTGAGCAAATTCTGGATGAAAATAAGAAAGTTATGAATTATTGAAGTTGTGATCAATCAAATACAAATCGGCAACTCTGTGACTTATTATACGAGCTCTCCTTCATTTGCTTTGTGCATAATATTCCATAAAATCATGTTTTCTTCGTTATTGATGACGGAATATATATTTCTTCCTTGCAGGGGGAGTATAGAAACATATTTGCAATTATTATATTTAGGGTGCATGTATGGTTGAAATTTTTCTTGAGGAAAAATGAAAATTTTAGATTTTTTTTAGTACTGAGCAAATGGAAGTTGAGCTCGCATGATACGTCATAGAGTTGCCAATTTGTGTTTGATTGATCACAACTTAAAAAATCCTAACTTCCTTATTTTTAATCGGAATTTGCTCAAACTTTCACTGACTTGTTTCTCTCATTTTTCTACTCCTATTAAAACTAACTTAATTTCAGGGTGGACTTTCCCTTTAATATCCCGATTACCATTGCCACAAGAAAGATTTGTGTTCCATGTTATGAACGAGGAATGGAAGAACGAACATACAAAGAAAAATGCAATATTCAATGTTTTACCCCGAAAATCTTAAATCAATCAAATAGCATACCCACTTCTCTCTCTCTCTCTCTCTCTCTCTTTTCTCTCTCTCTCTCTCTCTCTCTCTCTCTCTCTCTCTCTTCTCTTCTCTTCTCTTCTAAATGTCCCCTCTTCCTCCTTCCCCTTTTTACTCTGAGTTGATATTTGGGTCTCTGTAGGAACCATCAATTAATTGGTGATGATGATGATGATGGTGATATATAGTAAAACTGGTTATAATACAATGATGACAATAATTATAATAATAATAATGCTAATAATGATAAATAATAATGATACAAATAATAATAATATTAACAATAATAGTAATAATAATAATAATAATGACAATGATGAATTCTGTTTTATAGTAATTACCAAATAAACAAACATAAGAGAAAGAACTTCTATTAAACCTCTTATTTCCACCCCCTCCCCCCATTCCATTTTCAATACGTGAACGCCATGAACTCCAATATATAGTGCTTTGCTGCTCACCAGTCACCAGCTAGCTCTCTCTTTGTATATGAACTCAAGGGATTAAATAGATACATGTACGTTCTCAGAAAGTCAATCGTTACGGCACACTAGTTCAATCGCTTGTGAGTCTTTGGAATATAAGCTTCTGTTTTTGTTTGCAAGATACGTCACAGCATTGTAAACTTCAAAAATTGATAACCCTCTTATTTGTCATCGGAATTTATTCAAACTTAACTGATAGGCTTCTCTCAGTTTCCTGCTCTTACTAAAAACCTATGTAGTATCATTCATTACATAATGTATCATGACCCAACTTTAATTACGAGCATAAAATTTTCGTTTTTCCCTATTTTTTTTTATTTTTTTTACTATTTGTGTTTTTTCTGTTTTTACCATTTGTATAAAACTGTTATTTTGTTTTAAACCATTCTTTTTGTCAGTTCTTGAATTTGTATTTTCCTTCTTTATGCAGGACCATTATGTAAAACAACATGCGAGCTGATCAATGTTATCCTGTTAAAATATGTTTTAATAAATAAATAAATAAATAAACCTTTTACGTAGCGACTAAACATTAAAATATATATACAGAATACACAAAGTCGGTTGGCCGTCAGAATTGAGATGCCAGAATTACAAACATTGACATGAAGGTTAACGTAATCATTGCGACATTTCCTCAATACTATCAGTATTAGGTCTAAAAGGCCCATTATGCGAAGGCTATTGATTTGTGAATCCTAACTAGGGGTCAGGTATAAATGGGATTGACTTCTGTAATTCCTCAAGAGAGAGAGAGAGAGAGAGAGAGAGAGAGAGGGTGGGAAAGAGGGAGAAAACTCAGAATCAGATCGGACATGTTTGCTTTCTAACATTGCAGTTTATATTTAATTGGGCCAGACCGCCAGAAAAGTAAGCCTCGGCTTTGAGAAGCCTCCATTTCATTTCACCCCTAGCTGTGTAAACCCACTTCATTGTTCCCCGGTTCGCGTCAATGAAAAATCCCGACCCGCCTGGCGCTGTGAATATTGATCGAATATCGGAATAGCCACGCGCCGCTTATCTACACGCTGAATTCCAGTTCGGCGGTCATGCACGCGTGAGTAACGTTTAATCGTCACTGTCTTACCCGTGCTAAAATGACCTGGTTATCGGTGTGTAGTTCAAAGCGGATTCGTCCGCACGTACACGACGACTTGCACGGTGTTCATTAACCGCTCCGCATATACAGGTTCAACTGGTACACGACGGACCAGGCAGCAATTAACACACGAAGAATTGTACGTCCTTGGGGCCTGCATGAGCAACTTGAAGAGAAAGAAAAGCCACAGTTTTCGCCCACATTTCCAAAGTTCATGGCTGCCTATATACGTCACTGCGAATTGACAGCATTCTTCTTTATCTCCTTGGACTTTCGACGCAGAGACAAATAGTATTGACTGCCAGCAAGCGTATCCATTTCAAACTCCAGCCGCTCAGCGTTTGTTAGGAGCTAAGAGCCGCCCGTTTCATTCATCGATTGTGCTCGCGAAATCGTCACTCATTTGCTGACGTTTTGGCCTCTGAAAATAGCATCTGAATTCGACTATCAAATTGATCGAGTGCAGGGTTAGCTGACCATTTGTGGAACTATAAAATAGAGCGAGAAAAGTTGCAACCAGGCATTGGCAATCAGGATTTTAATACTGATCAACTGTCTCTCAAGATATTCTTCTAAGGTGAGAAAATAATAAACATTTCTTTTTTCTTTATATTCCCTTCGTTTCTAATAATATGAGGAATGTGCGTTGGCGGGGACTGTTTTGCTCAAATGCATACAAACCCGCCTGCAGAGGTTTTGTTAGGGGATTAGTACATATTTAGTTATGAGCTTCACTGATCAAGAGTGACACACAACACTGTACTGGTATCCTACACAAATGCTTCGACTCGGTTCAGGTTTGTTAACCCTGCAGTATATAGGCCAACCCACTGGTAGACGCCACGAAAAGGGCGAATACAAATATTTTCTCAGTCTCACCAAAAACATCTTTTAAATCTATAAAGATTAATGTTATGTTCTTATTATTTGCAAGAAGCAGTATACACCCCCTGCTTGTGATGTTTTATCTACGAAGAACTATTCGGAATGTAAAACTAATTATAATGTTGACTTAGCAAGGTCTTTAAAGATATATGCTTTGTATTATAATGTTTCTTTATATTGGTAGGCTATATTGTTGTCCGGATATACAGGTGTATAATTTTGTATATATATATTATAGGGAGACAATTCTTTAAAAAATTGAATTTTTTTCCTAAACGGATATGCCCTGCATCAGCTAGTATCTTCAGGATTAAAGAAAGTAGAAGAGAAGAATGTGATAGATGAGAAGGAAGAGGAGAAGAAGAAGAAGAAGAAGAAGAAGAAGAAGAAAGAACGCTTCAACATAGATCCTCCCGTATATTTTCTAAACAAGAACGAATGAGGCTCCATATTCTTTTATGTTCATGCGTTTCATATTTTCATATTTTCTCGAGGTTTATTATTTGTTATGCCGGACCACTAATTTATAAAGATTATAATTATATACGTGCATGTTTATGTACGCAACGCATTGCATCATGCAAAGAATTTATACTTGAGAATACCTGTGTGCGCATATACCTGCACCATCCTCATTTTCATTGATCAAAATATTACCACTACCAGTACACCACACCTCTCTGTTGTTGTCCCTCCGCTTTTCGGAGATCAGCGAGTATATCGCATTCGAAGTAGTAGGCTGCTGTAAATATGTTATAAAATCCTTAGTTGGAGGGTATGGAGTGCAGGCGATGGGCATGAATTTTGTAAAGATAGTGGTATAGTAAATCTTGGGCGTAGGTGATTCCTGGATGCTTCAACTTCAAGTGCATCAATAATCATTCGTGGTAGTATGTTATGCTGTCGCTTTTCATCAGTATCAGACACAGATGTATTATATCTGTGTGTGCGTGTGCGTGTGTGTGTGTGTGTTTGTAAATGTACATGTATGTAACAGATACACAATTAATTACACACTATATTATGCATGTGCGTGTGTATATATATGTGTGTGTAATTGTGTTAATTATACACAGGTACTGTTCTTGCAGGGAGAGAGAGCGAGAGAAAGAGATGAAGATGGACAGATGAGTGGAGATATACTGAGAAAGAGAGAGAAAGAGAGAAAGAGAAAGAAAGGTAACGTTAAAGAAGGAGAAGAGAGAGAGAGAGAGAGAGAGAATCAAGAGAGAGATTATATACAGCAATGATTTTGATTAAATAATTCTGTTTAAAATAATTTGATAAATATTCCCATACATCGAGAGCTATAGGGAGAACTCACCCGCACGAAATCGCGGAAAATAGCTTTAAAAGATATAAAAACATGCATTAATTTACTTCTTTATGTAAATTAATAACTACTTTTGTTTGTCTTTAACAAAACTTACAATGTACACGTACACAGGATGTAGGCTATTGTGATTATAGGTCGCTATTCGAATATGGTTTTGCCAGCGTTTCCCTGCACTTTCAACAGGTTCATTGTGGTTTCCGCAATCGCATACGGGGTTTTCATTATGCTTTGAATCGTATCGGGGATTTTTCGGCTGGTAGTACTTTTGGAAGTATAGACTTACTAGAGACAAACATGCTTTAACGACTTTACCTTTGTCCCAGTTATTGCGGTATTGGTTGGACGGTCGAAAGTACTGTATCCCATTTGCAGCTAGGACAAATATCTGAAAACATGATATGACTACGAATAAAGGTAAAGACCAGTATTGGAAAAGCCCCAATTTCAAAAAATGAAATGGAAGCTCTCATTACCAATCATGTGAAAGAATATGTTTTGACTAATACATGATGTTAAAAAATTTGCCGGGAAATCGCCTACTAATTCATATATTTGGTAAATTTGTTTCTCTCATGGTCTGTGAGAGATATAGGGTAGTCCCATATACATCTTTCTGTGTATAGTGCTTGTAACTTTACGAAGAATGGGCCAAATTTCTTATCATTTTGATGATTCCAGAACCTTGCAGATGCTAGATGCTAGATGATAAACCTTTTCTGATCGATTCCACAACGTTTCTTTCAAAATGCAATCGCATGACCATAACTGGTCTTTACCTTTAAAGGTAAAGGAGGATGCCGTTTAATGCACCCCCCCCCCCACCCCCACCGTGATCACAGGAAATAAAAACTGAATTTTCGTGGAATAATAAGCGGTTGGATTTTAAATTGAGTTTCAGGCGTGCCGTCAAATTGTATTGGGTGCCAAAATGTAACAGTAATAGCAACAGTAAAATCTGTTACAATATACTGTAATGATTGGAATATTTCCTCAAAGCTTGGTCGTTTTTTTTTTAACATCCACAACCGAGAAAATCGGTATATGTACGCATAATGCAAAATGGAAATCCTGTTGAAGGAACCAATCATTTTCCTGATTTAATATACCGGTACCGGAGAACATGTTCTATTACGATGTATGGCAATACCATCATAGGGATATAAATTGTACAACTATATACATGTACATGTAACTACATGTATTATATACATTATGCATAATGTATAATAACGTTAACGTGTGTTATTTTACAATAGAGTACAGATTCCGTACAACCAATGTAATGACAAACAAAATGAACTAGACATAGAGTTTTTTCAATAATTTTTAAAGGTCAATTATGTCGAAATATTCGCATTGTTATTATATGAATCATATACAAAATGTATGGCGCCAGCTTTTTATTCATTGTGATATTCACAATCATTGTGTGTATAGGGCCGCTGGTGTATATTAGTGTATATGCTACATGACTTTTGTAAATACCTCTCCCAAAACTGCTTCTGAAAGCCGCTTTGCTGTCATATTTGCTCGTTGCATTTTTCAAATTTTACAATCGTTAATCGCCATTAACCCGAATATGTCCCATTACAACAATAAAATATATGAGTACTGCACTAATTTTACTTTAGATCAGCAGTTCATTGCTTCCATAATTATGAACGTGGCCAATATGCGAATTCATAGCGAAAAGACATAATCAAGTTAGGAAAGATTCTATTTAAAAGTACAAGGCATTTGGATATTTTAAGTAAAATGAATCGACTCAGCGCAATCAAAGATTAGTCTCATCGTCAGAACTGTCCGAGTTCCATCATTTTAAATTTCTTTCGAACAGTTGATTACGTTATAAAACATTAAGCTTTTTTTCTTCTTATATTACCAGTACATTTATTTCGCGACCTGCTTAACTACTAAGATATGAATATACAGTCATAAAGTTTATATATATATATATATATATATACCTCTTAAAACTGAGGGCATTCGGTAAGTTCTCTTGTAAATATTTATTGCTTTATTGTCCGGTTTATTGACATTTGATAAGAGACTCTTTCAGTTTGTAATTGCCCTGTATGTATCAGATTTCGAATATAATGTCTTGGTTAAACTAATGTTTTATTTAAAATGTTTCCTTAGTCTCAAATTGTCGTTTTGTATTCATAGACATTACTGGTCTTCAGCTCTAGTTTTCTTTCATTGTGTAAGTAATCAACATAAATGATAATCAATCAAACATTAGGTCTGGTGCAGATGAATGCGTTAGTATCAACGCAACTGAATCATGGATAATGTTTATCATCCATTTATATACATTTTAGTTTGGTATTGAAAATAATAGATATTACATATATTTGTATATATTATTTTCGTTACCAAACTAAACTTTATATTTGTATTGAAAATTGGCCATCACTCAACACATATATTTCCACATAATTCAATACATCTTCTACATATTTCACTGAATCTAGTTACGTTCGAATTAGAGTCGAACTGGCGCTTTTCTGATGTCCCCCAACATGCACTTTATTGTAAAATAATTTCATTTTTAATTGGATGCTTTACAATTTGCAATTGCTGAATTAATCCGCTACCTTTGATAACCTTGGTCTGCGGTGGCTCCATTCCATGATTCAATTAACCAGAAACCAGCGCGTTGGAGCCCTCATTTTAAAACGAATGCCGTGCTTCACAAATACGAAATGACGCCATTCCGATGCTGAAAGTAGAAGATCAATTTTCGTAATGTCATTGACTATGGTATCCCTAAGCAATCAAGGCTGAAATAAGGTAAAGAAAATACTGAAGCACCGGCATTATGAGGTTAACATAATACTAAACAAATTTGGTGCAAATAATGGATATTAAAAACCGGCTGTACTTTTTTTGTTGCTTTTGAAGCAGCCGTCTCCGATTCGGCGACAACTGATAAAAATCATATCGATACGATAATTTGCGCTGATCCCAATATCGGTACTTCTTATAGAGTAGTCTAGGAAATTGGACCATTGTTTCAGATAAAAAGATTGAACGTGTGAGTTTGTAGGCATTTTAATGGATATTCGAAATTCAGTACTAGATTAATGACAGGTGATATCACTTTTGTGAAAAGATACCATTACGTATGTCAAAGTTAGGTTTTCAGAGTATAACAACTACTATCGTACAACGCCTTAATCTTACATGATAATTGATATTATATCCACTGAATTATTCAATGAATAATAAATTTGAAAAATGCAATCATTATCAGACTGGTTTATAATCAAAGTTTGAAGTAATATTATTCTAAACTTAAAGTTATCCATGTTAATGCGAATATCCCAAAATAGGTGAAAATTATGAATAATATT